AAAAAAAAAAAAAAAAAAAAAAAAAAATCCAAGCATAACTTTATAGTTTGCCCTCTGTGGAAAACTTTAGAGTTTCCACATCTGTGGATTCAACCAACTACAAATGGTGTCGTACTGTATTTGGTGAAAAAAATCCCCATATGAGTGGACTCTTGTAGTTCAAACCTGAGTTGTTCAAGAGTCAAATGTACTGATTCTCAAACTCTGAAAGAATGAATAATCACCTGGGGAACTTATCAGAAGTGCAGACATTTTTTTTTACTTTTTAAAAAACAGCTTTATTGAGGTATATCTGTCATACAGTGAGCTGCACATATTTAAAGTATACGATTTGATAAGTTTTGACATATGTGTATACCCTTGAAACTACCACTACAGTCAAGATAATGAACACAACCATCACCCCTAAGTTTCCTAATGCTCCCTTGTCATCTCTCCCTCCTGCTCCTCCCAAACTGTTCTCTATCTCCAGGCAATCACCGATCAAATTTTTGTCACTATATTCTAGTTTTCATTTCCTAGAATTTTATATAAATGAAATCATACAGTACATACTCTTTGGTAAGGAGAAGTGCAGAAATTTTGATTCCTAGTAGAGTTCTCTGGAACGGGGCCCAGAAATTAAGCACCCCAGATGAAATGAATGCAGGGTATACATCAACTTTATTTTGAAAATCACTTTAAAAAGTAGCAAATATTAAGTAGCTAAAAATACTAAAGAGCTAGGTCCTCAGCTTAACTGGTCTTACGTCATTTGTGTTCTGCTATGTCAAAGTCTATCATAGAAATAGATCTATTTATTTTATTGAGTAGAGCTTCATTAGGGAGAAGTCTGAAACATGTTACATATTTTGAGAACATTTTGAGACACTGCTGACATACATCAGCATAAACATATATATCATAAAGATTAATGAGGTATATATCATGTATGGCCTTGCATTCGGGAAAAAAATATTCACCAAGTCCAATTAAATTACTTCTTCTGAGAGTATTATAAAATATAGTCATTTCTTACTTTGAATACTCATTTAAATGAGCAGTCTTCCCTATATTTTAATTTATTATTTAAAAAGGTCAATCACTAGCCTGAAAGGAATATTGTAACTATTTCACAATCAGTTTAAAAAAACCAAGTCTCCCAGCTAAATCTTCATGTAGAGAAGAAAATGGTTTCTTAGCGCCACCTAACGATAAAGCTACAAAACTGAAATGTATAAATTTGAGCAGGGAAGAATTTGTCATTAATCTAACAAATATGTACTGTGTGCCAAGTATTGAAAACATAGTGATGAGAAAAAAATATATAATCCCTGCTCTCAAGGAACTTGAGAGGTAGAGGGTAGAGGGGCAGGGAGGAAGTTGGTTTCATTTGCACATTCATTCATTCTTTATTCATTCACTCATTTGCACAATGATCTCAATGAACAAAACAGACAAAAAACCTCTGCCCTTGTGAAGCTTACTTACTGATTCTGTGTATTAGATCAGACACAGATCCTATTAATTCTACCTGCTAACATCTCTTGAACCCGTCCTCTTCTCTCCTTTCTTAGGGTAAGTCTTCACCACCTTTTGGTGTATTACTGCAATAACGTCCTAAGGTCTTAGAGGTTCTCCCTGGAATTTCTCCCTTCTCCAATCTGTCCCCCACACAGCCAGCAGTTAGCTTTCTAAAACACAAGCCTTTTCTTGTTATAGTAGTGCACCCTTATCTGCGGTTTCACTTTCTGCAGTTTCAGTTACCCATGGTCAACCATGGTCTGAAAATATTACATGGAAAATTTATAAGTTTTAAATTGTGCGCCATTCTGAGTGGCATGATGAAATCTCGCAACATCCGGCTCTGTCCCACCCAGGACATTAATCATCCCTTTGTCCAGTGTATCCTGCCCATTAGTCACTTGGTAGCCATTGCTGCCATATCGTGGTGCTTGTTTTCAAGTAACCCTTATTTTATTGATACTTAATAATGGACCCAAAGCACAAGAGTAGTGATGCTGGCAATTCAAATATGGCAAAGAGAAGCTGTGCTTCCATTAAATGAAAAGGTGAAAGTTCACAACTTAATAAAGGAAAAAAATTGTATGCTGAAGTTGCTAAGATTGACAGTAAGAATAAATCGTCTATCCATGAAATTGTGAAGAAGGAAAAAGAAATCTGTACTAGCTTTGTTGTCGTACCTCAAACTGCAAGTTACAGCCACATTGCATGATACGTCCTTAGTTAAGATGGAAAAGGCATTAAATTTGTACAATAAGATATTCTGAGAGTGAGATCACCTTCACATAACTTTCATTATAGTGTATTATTATAATTGTTCTATTTTATTATTAGTTATAGCTGTTAATCTCTTGCTGCACCTGATTTCTAAATTAAATTCTATCATAGATATATATAGGATGGATAAACAAGGTCATACTGTATAGCACTGGGAACTATATTCAATATCCTGTGACAAACCATAATGGAAAAGAATATGAAAAAGAATATACATATATGTATAACTGAGTCACTTTACTGTACAGAAAAAATTAACACAACATTATAAATCAACTATACTTCAATAAAATTTTTTTTAAAATAGCAGATATAGGGTTTGGTAGTATCTGAGATTTCAGGCATCCACTGGGCGTCCTGGAACCCATCCCCCTCAGATAAGAAGGGACTACTGTAATTTTACTTTAAAAACCTTCACCAGCTTCCTATTACCTACAGGATAAAGTGCAGATTCCTCAGCATATCCTACAGGGCTTTTTGTGATCTGGTCCCAACTTATCTTTCTGGCCACATCTGTCAGTAGTATTCCCAATTCACTGTTGACATTTTGCAAACATATCACTCCTTTGTGCCTTTGCATATGCTTTTCTCTTTGCTTTAAATGTCCTTCCTACCTCCTTTCTGTCTAGCACACGCTTACTTATTAAATGCATTTCCTTTAACAACAACCTACTCTGTTACGTCTTCTCCTACTTCCTGAAGAGTAATAGTGATTCTTTGTCTATTTCCTTTCCTTAATGATGAGTTCCTAAATGGTAAGAACCATATCTTTTCATCTATTTCCTGGAATTTGGCATAGTGTCTGGCATTTATCAAGTGCCCATGAAAGAAGGTAAAAATGTAGTATTCTCAACTATTTCCCCTTAGAGTTATAAGGGGGAAAACGGATAGAGAATATCCACACTTCAGAGCCATCCACCCAGGCTGCCAACCTGTCAGAAAATACATGGTAATCTATAAACTGATGAATCATATTGCTGAAGGCAGTCTGGACCAAACAATAAAGCGATTCCAAAGTGACTTCAAAGAACAAGAGTCAGATGAACACACAGTAGAAGCTGTGTAGCTTGAAAATACTCCGAGGTGATTCTGATACACTGTCCCTCCCCCACTAATTGGCAATCACTCTGATAATATTTGGAAAATCTGATGTTATTTTTTCCATTTTAATATATAAACCGGAAAGTGAACTTTGGTGACTTTGAAGAGATAACTATAATAATGCCGAGGATTAAACAGTGAAGTCTTCTGGGCAAAGAATTATCTTAATGTTGAGGAGAAAAATTATAGCCACAGAGAATTACTTGATGGGCTTGGAATAAGCTCAAGGGTATAAGTGGTTAAGCTGAACAGCTAGCAGTGATATCAATCTATGCTGGCCAAATCTCCATAATATCAGCATGGGGACCAACAAGACACTCCAGTCCTCTTATGGGGCAGCCCTTCCCCTGGACATTGCTGGAGAGTTCTGCCTCTCTTCCCACACTGATCATTCTTTTTCTACTACATTTTTTCCTTGTAAAAATACAACTTGATTTATAAAGTATTAAGCATAGGGATTCTCTGGACCTGTTTCTTCATCTGGGGATAGCTCTACAGTATTTTCCAATAAGCTATTGACAAGGGTACTTGTGAAGTTTAATCAGATGAAAGTCTTGTTGGGAATGCCAGATATCAATATAAAGGATCACAGTAACCACTACATTGTTTGCCTCAGCTTATGACCTCAATAGTCTTCTAGATTACTTTTCTCTTTTTTCCAGCAAAGGAACTCTTCCACTAAAGGAATTTTAAAAGAAGTGACACTGAAAATGGGGATTAAGAATTAGCACTCAAAATAAAACTAGAGGGAATTCCCTGGGGGTCCAGTGGTTAGGACTCCGCACAGGTTTGATCCCTGGTTGGGGAACTAAGACCCTGCAAGCCTCACACCACGACCAAAAATAAAATAAAATTAAATTAAATTAATAAATAAAACTAGCCACAAAAATAATTCAGAAATGAATGACAGAGGGACAAAGCGAAATCACATACCCATAAAGTAATTGTCTGAAGCTTCCTGCCACGCTTGCCCATTAATGCTGACATTCTCTTGCACAGCTGATTCAAAAGTCTGCAATAAAGTCACAATAGTCAAGTCACTGAAAGTAACTTTAAAAACTGAATTCAAACATTTTGGCAAAATAACAATTTCAGATTTGTGATAGAGAATATTAAAAAAAGTAGCAGGGGCTTCCCTGGTGGCACAGTGGTTAAGAATCCACCTGCCAATGCAAGGGACAAGGGTTCAAGCCCTGGTCCAGGAAGATCCCACATGCCTCGGAGCAACTAAGCCCCTGTGCCACAACTACTGAGCCTGCACTCTAGAGTCCGCGTGCCGCAACTACTGAAGCCTGCTCACCTAGAGCCCGTGCTCTGCAACAAGAGAAGCCACCGCAATGAAAAGCCTGCACACTGCAACAAAGAGCAGCCCCCGCTCGCCACAACTAGAGAAAGCCCGCGTGCAGCAACAAAGACCCAATACGGCCAAAAATAAATAAATAAAATTTTTTTAAAAAATAATGCAGGGCTTCCCTGGTGGCGCATTGCTTGAGAGTCCACCTGCCGATGCAGGGGACACGGGTTTGTGCCCCGGTCCGGGAAGATCCCACATGCCGCGGAGTGGCTGGGCCCGTGAGCCATAGCCGCTGAGCCTGCGCGTCCGGAGCCTGTGCTCCGCAATGGGAGAGGCCACAACAGTGAGAGGCCCGCGTACCACAAAAAAAATAAATAAATAAATAATGCATATATAACTGAACCACTGCTGTACAGTAGAAATGAACACATTGTAAATCAACTATACTTCAATAAAATAAATTTTAAAATAACTATCACAAAAAAGAATGTGATAATACTATATTATGTGGTTTTAGATAAAGAGATGTCAACATAATTAAAGCCTCTGCCTTTTATCTGTTCTCTTAATTAAAGTAAAACACAAGTTAATTCCTTTGGTAGTTTAAGTCTTCACACCTTTTATCTTCTAATCCACTTTCTCATCCATTAAATAAGGTATAATAGGTTAAGCCAAGTTCTTCTTTTTTTGTAAGGTAATTAAATGTTCTAAGCAGCTTAGCACTTCCTAGAAAGGGGTAAATTCTAAGATCATTACACAACAAAACAGTCTTCTCCCAAGAAACTACTAAAAATGTCCTCAGGTATGTCTCTATTCTTCCCTTGCTTGCAAGGAGAGAATGATATAAGAGCCACTGTACACAACACTGGAATACAGAATCACAACCCAGGGAGTGTTCCTTCATTCTTCATCCATTTACCCTTTATTTTGGTTGCACTGTGGTCATTCAGACTCAAAACTGTACTGCATTATAAGCATTTTAACATTTTTCCTGAATATAAATAGATTGTGTGCTTCCTTTTGACAGGCACAAATCCCTCAATTTGTTGTGTCTTTCCCCAAAAAACTATCTTCTTCAGGGCTTTGCAAAATATTTAAGAAAGGAAGGGGAAATGTATTATAAGGGCCAGTGTCTGACCTTACTGAAGTTTATAAGCAAGACAGCTTCCTTATCTATTTTAGACCTGAAGGGAAAAAGTTGTCGCTCTCTTTACAAGATGTTCTAAAACAAACAAAAGGAAAGACCAAAAGCTAGCCTGGTGACTGACTGACTGACTTCCAGGATTACCCTCTCCTGGAGAATTTCTCAGAGTCTCTGTCTGCACCGCCCAATAGGGGAGCAACTAGCCACTTTATGGCTGCTGAGGCCTTAAAATGTGGCTAGTAGGAAAGGAGATGAGCTCTAAGTTTAAGACAGATTTGAAAAGCTTAGTATGAACAAAAGAATGTAAACTATCTCATTCATTTAACTATCTCGTTCATTTTTTAATTATTACAAGTTAAAACGATATCTTGGACATGGTTAAATAAATGTTATTAAAATTAATTTCACCTATTTTTTTTTTTTTTTTTTTTTTTTTTTTTTTTTTTTTTTTTTTGCGGTATGCGGGCCTCTCACTGTTGCGGCCTCTCCCGTTGTGGAGCACAAGCTCTGGACGCGCAGGCCCAGCGTCCACGGCTCACGGGCTTAGTTGCTCCGCGGCATGTGGGATCTTCCCGGATCGGGGCACGAACCCGTGTCCCCTGCATCGGCAGGCGGACTCTCAACCACTGCGCCACCAGGGAAGCCCTATTTTTTCTTACTTTTAATTTCAAGTTACATACATGGCTCGCCTTGTATTTTTCTGTCGGACAGCACTAGTCTAAGTAATTAACAATACCCAGCTGCCTCTAGCATCTACTTCGTTCCCTCCCGTGTCCCGGGCTGCTTCTAACCAAGCGTGGGGCACCGTTAACTCTGCAGAAGCCTGGCGTGCGCTCTTTCTGACCACTGAGACCTGGGGTGTGGAGAGAGGGGGTGATAAGACAAGACTGGGCCCGTACCCACTGCGCATCTCGCAGCACGGGCTCCCGGATCTCCTCTGGCAGCGCGTCCCCCAGCTTTTGCACGAAGCGGCCGCACAGTTCTAGCATTTCCGTCACAGCCCGCTTCGAGGTGCAACGCACCCGGAAGTCTTTTCGGGAGGTGGCAAGAACCGAGGCCCCATGGTCTGTCCCGGCCACTCTCTCCACGTCCCGCGGAGCAGAAAGGGCCACCGACGTAAGAGCCCCCTCCATTTTTCCAACTTGAATTGGGGGCGGGAACTCTGGGAGCGGAAGAGCGGGTTCCCCGGGAGGAAGGAGCATACGTCCGGCCGGAAACTCGGCCTGCAGCAGCAGCGTTCCACCTGAGGCTCCGCTGGCAAGTCGAGGGATTCAGTGGCTGCGGCGATGGGAGCGGTGGGCGTAGGGCTGGTGGACTGTCACTGCCACCTCTCCGCCCCGGACTTTGACTGCGTATGTGAGGGCGAGGTCGGGCCCGTGGGAGCAGGGAGGGCCCCATTCTTTCCCTTCAGGCTATCCTTGTTCTCCTCCCTTAGGGCAGAGCCCCAAATCCTCTCAGGCCCCCGTCTGTGGTCCTGTGCGACTTGCTCCTTACTCCCTATTTAATCTCACTCACACTGATTTTTCTTTTTCATCCCGAATATCCATATCCTCTATCTCCACTTAGCTTTTATTTGCTGTTACTGGCTACTGGAGTCCTTCCCCCTACCCCGCCTTGGCCCGGCTATCCTACCAGCCTCTCAGCTCCGGGCAGAGAATCCACTTTCCCCAGGACGCCGTACGCGAAACTCGGGCTCACTCCAGCACGCCGCGTGCTCCAGTTCTACAGGGGAGCGAAGCAAACAAAAACCAGCGCGCGGGCACACACGTAATTTCAAAGTGTTTTACCCGCTACATTGGAAACTAGAGGCTAATAATAAAGAAGAGCGGGGTCCATCTTAGGGGAAAAACCTCTCAAGAGGTGAAGCTTAAATTGGTGCTGGAAAGACAAAGCGGTGAGTGCATGGTGGTGAGGAAAGCAGGCGGGTTGCAGGCCTCCAGACAAGACAGAATTTGGACGTTCAAGCTACCGGAAAGGCTGGGTGGAGCCTGATGAGCTAAAAAGAGAGACGCGTAAAACAAGACCGAAGAGGTTTGCTGAGGTTTAGTGAGTCAGGAGTTCGCATTTCATTAGAAGCACAATGGGGATCCAGTAAAGGGCTTTGCTTTTGAAGGAGAGAGTCAAGATCTGATAATCCATTTAAAAACCATTTTGCTGATGTGTGGCTAATGGACAGAAGAGAACAAGAATGGAAGCTTGAAGACCAGCTTGGAAGCTTTTGCAGTATTTAGACTAAAGATAGTGGTTGCAGGGGAGTTTGAGAGAAGCAGATGGATTCAAGGTATACTTTAGAGATAGAATCTGTAGTACATGCTGAGAGGAATTGGATGTGGAAAGAGAGGGAAAGGGAGAACTTGAGGATGCTGTAGACAGGTGGTGGTGCTGAGATGAGGGAAAACTGAGGTTGGAGAGGGCAGGCAGAAAGAATAGGTTTGTTGAGAAAATAGTTATGTTCCGTACATGTTGAAACCTAATATCCATCCAAGTGGAGATGTCATATGGTTATTTAAAAATGTAACCTGGTGGCGCAGTGGTTGAGAGAGTACGCCTGCCGATGCAGGGGACATGGGTTCGTGCCCCAGTCCGGGAAGATCCCACATGCCGCGGAGCAGCTAGGCCCGTGAGCCATGGCCGCTGAGCCTGCGCGTCCGGAGCCTGTGCTCCGCAATGGGAGAGGCCGCAACAGTGAGATGCCCGCTTACCACTAAAAAATAAATAAATAAATAAATAAAATGTGAATCTTGGGTTCAGGAGAGAGTTATAGGCTGGAGATAAAAACTGGGGACTCATTAGCATAATGAGCATAGTAATAAGAGTACTTAAGGTGAGTCAGAGAGAGAAGTATAGGGTTCTGAAATCAGATAGAGAAGAGAGAGCCAGTCAAGGAGACTGAAAAGTAGCAGCCAGCTAGAGAGGAGTATTTGCAGAAGCCAAGAGTGGAAAATATTTCAAAAAGGAAGGAGTGGACAAGTGAGGAGTTCCTAATGCTGCTGAGGGGTAGAGTAGGAGGACAGAGAAGTGTCCTTTATATTTGACAATAACAGTTTCTGTTTTAGTAGTGTGGGAACAGAAGCCACATTTTACTGAGAGAATAAATGGGAGGTAGGGTCAGCATAGGCTCTTCACATTCCACCACCTTGTTCCTTGCCATCATTGTCATTCTTTATGGTGCCTCAGCTACATTGATATACACAGCCAAAGGACACTTACTTATCCATCTAAAATGATTGTGATTACTTATGTTTATTTTAGGATCTGGATGATGTGTTGGAGAAAGCCAAGAAAGTAAGCCAATACCTGCAATTGCCCTTTTTTTGGTTGTTTTTATTTTCCTCCTAATTTTGACCTAAAACAGCTTGAAATTTAGTTATACTATGTTGTTGTTACTTCAATAATAATAAGTTAATAATAAACAGCATTTATTGTTTACTATGTGCCAGGCACTGAGCTAAGCCCATCCTGTGCATTATCTCATTTAATGTTTCACAGCAAGCTTCTGAGGAAGCTATTTTATAGCCAACCATTACCCATTTTATAGATGAGGAAACTAAGGCCTAGAGATTAACTTGTCCAAAGACACACCACTAGTAAGTGATGTAGACAAAATAGTCTGAATCCAAAACACATTCCCACAGCCACCATGCTTACCAGCAATATGGAACAAATTGGTCCATCTTTCAGTTCTTGAATTAACGTTATTCTGGAGATCTTGGAGAAATTATAAAAGTTTTCTGAAACAATTTGATTTGTGTGGGAAAAAAATTATTAATCTTTGGAAGTGTTATGAAGCTAGCATTTTGTGGTCTTCCCCAAAAATGATAAAAATGGTTGCCATTTTTACATACAGCCATCTTTCACTGTGGCAGCTTAATTAGGAGTGTGGGGTTTGGAGTTACACAGGGCTAGTGATGTTGGGCAAGTTTTTTGACTCCATCCAAAACTCTGTCTCTTGATCCATACAGTGGATTACAGCAATGCCTATGTCATAGGAGTATGTAGATTAAATGGGGGGTAATATTTATATTCACCGAACATAATACCTGAAGCATAGTAACTACTCAGTGATAGCTATTATGATTATATTGATGGAGTGTGAGTGAGCAAGGATAACTAAAAGCACAGAAAACTTTAAATTTTTATTTAATTATATTGGATGTATATTGTTTGAGACTCTCACTATTCTCTTCATTTTTGTTGCAGGCCAATGTTACGGCTCTTGTGGTGGTTGCTGAACATTCAGGAGAATTTGAAAAGATTATGCAGCTTTCAGAAAGGTGTTACTTCTCATTAAGATTTAGAAAGAGTTGCTAATGAGGATGCAGTTATGATTTCATGTTTATAATATCAAAGATCATCAATTTTTAAAGAGAATGAGAAGAAAAACAATCACATTAACATAGCCCTAAAAAAATTCTTTCCTACTTGTTCTTCAGAGTAACTTTGTCTCCTAGTCTAATATTCTGCTTTCTTAATTCGTTCTCCATTTTTAGGTATAATGGATTTGTCCTGCCATGCTTGGGTGTTCACCCAGTTCAGGGAGTTTCACCAAAAGACCAAAGAAGTGTCACGTTAAAGGTAACAGTCTTATAAAACAAGAACCATAAAAAATCATAACATCTTTTGACTCAGTACTCCTCTTCTTTCAAATTAATATTATAAGGCAATAATCCAAAAGAAAGAAATTCTATCTTCTTTCACAAAGATGTTTGTTACAGCAGTTACTTGAAATAGAGAAAAAGTGGAAAGAGCCTAGAGGTTAGGAGATAAATAACTAGTTATACAGTGTTAAATATAATGTTACAATGTTAAATATAACTATAGAAAGTGTGGACTATAAGGTTTATGTAGCAACATGGAAAATGTTTACAGTATAGTGTAGGGAGACAAGCAGGATAGCAAATGGTTTATTTACTGTGACATCCATGTAAAAATATATTGTATAAGGAAAAGACTAGAGAGAAAAGTACAGAAATTATACTCGTTGTGTTGGTCTGGTAGAGTTATAAGCACCTTATTTTCATATTTTTTATCATGTTGTCATATTGCTTTGGCAATAAAAGTGATAAAATATCCAGAAAAAGAAAGATACAAATTCATAGTTGCGGTACTATAAGGGAACAGATGAGTTCAAGTACATAGTGTCTTCTTTGAACATTGAACTATCCCTATAGGAGTGCTCTTGATCTGTTAAACTGCATTACTTTTATACCCTCTCTAAAAAAATTCCTACCCACAAGATCTCACTGACTCACAGTAGTCAATATGTCTTATGTTTCAGACTTTTCTCCTGACTCAGCATCAGGGAGATGCACAGTTTCCTGAGTGCTTTATTACATAATGAGATTGAAAGCCCCATGTTGAAGAAGTAAAGATTTTTTGTTATCTATGAATAAATTAAGATATGAAGACTATCATTTTTTATAATAATAAATCTGTATTCCTACATTGGGGTGCCCGAGGTAGTTCTACTTATTTTGAAACAAAATTACTTTTAATTCACTTCAGGTAAAAATAAATACTTATCCTGTAGATTTCCTGAGTTGTTGATATGATAAAATTAGCTAAATTGCCAGAGAGTTGCAATTCCCAAAATGTTGGGAATGATAGCAGGACAGTATTTCTTTCATTTATGTAGAGATTTATACTAATAGTCCTTCATTTCAGTAGTCAGTCAACAAGTGTTTAGTGAGCATGTACTATATTTCAAACACTGTTCTAAGCACTATAGAGTAAAATCCCTCTCACAGAAGCCAGATTCTGGATTGGGGAAGACAGTCAACAATTAGATACGTGAACTAAGTGCTTTAAAGGCAATGAAACAAGATTATGTGATGGGGATTGTGGATGCTGGTTTTTAGATTGTGTAGTCAGGGAAGGCCTCTCTGAGGAGGTGATGTTTGAACTGCAACCTGAATGCAGTTGGCCATGCAAAGAGAGGGGTCAGAGTGTTGAAGGCAAAGGAAACAATGAAGCACAAAGGTCCTAAGGTAGTTACAAGTTTGATGTGGTCAAGAAATAGAAAGAGGACTGATGTGACTAGATGGAAAAGGAAGGAATAGTGAGGTCAGAGGGATTGGGCAGGGATCCCCAATCACCTCATACAGGGCCTTGTTGGATTGTAGTTTACATCAGTGGGGGATTTAAAGTAAGGAGTGACAAGATGTGATTTCTGTTCTGAAAAGATACCCTTGGCAATGGTGTGAAGAATCAGTTTTGAAGAGGGCAAAAAAGGAAGAAGGGAGAATAGTTAAAAGACTGTTGCAATAGTCCATGTGCAAAACGATGGTGGATTGGACCAGAGTGGTAGCAATGGAGATGAAGAGAAGTGAGTGGATTTGGCATGTTTTTGGCATGAATGTAGAACTGGTAGGACTATTTAACTTACAAAACTAAATAAAATACCAACAATATACAGGTAAATCTAGATTCTCAAAGCAGACAGGAACTCAGCAAATCTCAAGATAGCCCGCTGGAAAAGACCAGAGTTAAGCAGTTTTGTTCCTAATGTGCTTGTACTCCTCACAGTAGTTTAGTTTTCCCATCGTGGTTAGATTACCAGCTCCTACCATGTGGTACAAAGGTAGGTATGTACAATATGTAAGTATTCATTAAATTACCTTGGTTTATAAAATGAAAATTGCCTAGCATCACACAAATCTTACAGCATATTCAATAAATATTATTACCAGGCAGAATTTAAGCCCCTGTGATACCCTGGGGAATCATAATTCACTGTCTACAAGCTACTGCCCCCTCCAGGCAGGGCATGTGCTGTCCAGTTGGCTCCTGTCCCTACTTAACCCACTTCACTCATTTCGATTACACTCCTGACCCCTGTTCTAAAGGTTCGGAAGACTAAACATTTTCTTTAATAAAAAAATAAATTCTAATTATTTTAAATCATTCAGAATAAAGCTCTCCTCCTTCCCCTTTGCCCTTCTTTCTTCCATCCTTTCCTTCTCTCTCCTTTCTTCTTTCAATAGCATAGTGGAAACAGCATGGGCTTTGAAGTCAGAGAGACTTGGCCTACTGGCTTCTGTGATCTGTGGCACTTAACTTTGCCAAGTCTCAATTTCTTCATTTGTAAATCGTGAATAATTATTTAGTTGTAGTATTCCCAGTCATAGGGTATAGAGGTATAGGATATTTTAAAACCCCACAATAGAACCATTAGCTGTTAAAGAACTTGAGACTTTATGGAGGAAGTGGGAATAGAACTGAAGTCAGTTTTAGACCTATGAATGTCCTTATAAATATTTTTACATCTATTAAAATGATAAAGACCACACATACATTTATACATATTGAATCTGTGATATGAATTATATTAATTTCTATTTACTACACCTGACTTGCCAGAAACTTCCAAAGTATTTCTTGAGGAATGGGAACAGTCTCATTGTAAATGTATTTTGCTTCTTTTTATAGATAATACATATTCCAAGAAGCATATTTTCCCTGTATCTGGTCTTCATCCCAATGTGTAATTTCTTTCTGACTGAAGACTTTCTAAGTGTCAAACATTTCCTGAGTAACCTCTCCAACTTCTCCAGTCCCTTTGAGGTCCCACAGACACACTGTAGTTTGGATGTTTGATATGGAAAATCTTTGCCTAACACTTTGACCTACTCAGCTATTGCCAGACATCCTCTCTGGTATTTAGGGTTATATGCTCTTAGCTCCACATGACAATATTAATTCTTCTTCATTGAGTCTACTGGAATGTCTGAGGCCTTGATTTACCCTTCCTCATCATCTTTTCTCTCTCTTGAGGTATAATTATAAAATCTCCTCTTTCTCTACCATATGGTTTACCTCCCTTTTTTTTTTTTTTTGCAATACGTGGGCCTCTCACTGTTGTGGCCTCTCCCCCTGCGGAGCACAGGCTCCGGACGCGCAGGCTCAGCAGGCATGGCTCACGGGCCCAGCCACTCCGCGGCATGTGGGATCCTCCCAGACCGGGGCACAAACCCGTGTCCCCTGCATCGGCAGGAGGACTCTCAACCACTGCGCCACCAGGGAAGCCCTACCTCCCTTTTCTTAATTCTCCCTTGTTCTGATTATCCTCACTAGAAGTACCTTGAATTTACATATTCTGAGACTAAAATCTTCAAAGTAGTTTAAAATATCTAGAAGCAAATTTTCCATGTATTTGTCTTTCCCTTGTCTTAAAGGGATCCCTCACAGGGGGAATTCTCTTTAAGAGGAAATAGTAATATCATGGAAACTAACAGTAGACGGTTACTTCAATAGTTGGCAAACAACGTATTTGTGATATTTAGTATGTATATTGTTGAACCTTTAGGACAAAAATAGGCTACACAGGACTATAAAGACAAAAGAAATTAGTGAAAATAGTGCAAAGGATGTATGGGATTATCACTATTAAAAATTCACAAGCCATCAGTACCCTAAGGAGAACATAGCAGTGAACTCCCAAAAACTCACAAAGGTGACTGCTTGGTGGCTTTCTTCTCTCTTGCTCAGCTATTCCAGGAAATCCAGTTCACTCCTCCTTAATGCCAAGAAATGCCTCCTAAACAGAAGGAAGGGTTTAAGTGGGAATCTTCGTAAGAAGTCATGTTCTTGGGACTTCCCTAGTGGTCCAGTGGCTAAGACTCTGCACTCCCAATGCAGGAGGCCCGGGTTCAATCCCTGGTCAAGGAACTAGATCCCACGTGCCACAACTAAGAGTTCTCCTGCCGCAACTAAAGATTCTGCATGCCACAACTAAAAGATCCTGCATGCCCCAGTGAAGATCCCACACACAGCAGCAAAGATCCTGTGTGCCGCAACTATGACCTGGCGCAGCCAAATAATAAATAAATAAATACTTTTTAAAAAAGGAAGTCATGTTCTTGTAACATAAATGGATGTGGGATGTTTGTACTCAAATTTCCAGACAGAAGTAGAAGGATTACATTCTTAGTTCCTCAACTGGTTAGAAGGTATTGACTATGTAAAGGACCCAGTATAGCATAGTGCCTGGCATATAATGGGTGTTTATACAAAACCTATAAAATTCCCTTCTTCTATTTTAATAAATTTACTTTTTTTTCATCCCAGGATTTGGATGTAGCTTTGCCCGTTATCGAGAATTATAAGGATCGATTGTTGGCAATTGGAGAGGTAAATACCCACTAGCTGATCAAATGATTTCTAATCCAGACTTTCATGTGATAGATGAAAACAGTCCTTAATTCAGTATTGGTGATTATAACAGACTTGGATAATTATGTTCACCCTGTTCAGCTGAATAATAATTTATCAGTACTTCCTCAGTAATCAAAAGTGCTTAGGGATAAAACAATAGAAGTCTCCCCATGGGCTTATGTTAATGAAAGAAAACTATTACCATTTCAATATACTTTCCTCTTTTTTTTCCTTTTGCTTACATAGGGTTATCTCTCTGGTTAGTTAAAATAGTATATACAAGCATACTTTAAATAGGTTAGAGTTTATAATTAAACAACATTTTTTATTAAATAATTTACAGCTGTGAAACATCTTATCACTTGGTAATTCCACTTATAATTAAAGATAAAAGATAAGAATAGCACTTACATTCAGAATCTAGGTTATCACGATGCATGCCAGAATAGAATCAAGGGAAGCAGTCATTTATAATCTTCACTGTCCAGTGTGGTTACCACATACAGCTGTTGAGCGCTTGAAATGTGACTGGCCCAAATTGAGATGTGCTATCAGGATAAAATGCACTGAGGATTTCAAAGTCTCAGGACCTCAAAAATAGAATGTAAAATAACTCAATAATTTTTTTTATTGATTATGTGTTGGCATAATAATATGACTATATGATAATATTGATAATGTCTTAGATATAGTGGATTAAATATATTATTAAAATTAATTTCACCTGTTTCTTGTTAGTGTTTTTAATGTAGCTACTGGAAACTGTAAGGTTGTGTATGTGGCTTATGTGTGTGGCTCCCATTATATTTCTCTTGGACTGTACTGCACCATAATATGTCTTTGGGGATTCATTAAACCATAAACATGTAATTCTGTTTTATTTTTCCGTTATAGGTTGGACTAGATTTCTCCCCCAGAATTGCTGGCACTGATGAACAGAAGGAAGAGCAAAGACAAGTCCTAATCAGACAGGTCCAATTAGCCAAAAGACTAAATTTGCCTTTGTAGGTTAATTATCATCTTTCTATATTAATAGTTACAGAGCAAATTAAGTAATGATTCTCCTGAAATTGAGCCCTACTTTTCTTTTTCTCTGAATTGCTTTAATATAACAAAAATAATAATTTCATATTAAGTACTCAAAAGGAATTTTTTTGTTGTTTACCAGAAATGTTCACTCACGTTCAGCTGGAAGACCCACCATCAGCCTCTTAAATGAGCAAGGTATTTAGGTTCCTGAGAAAAATGTGCCTAATGTTTAAGTTTGACAATTCCATTCCATATTCTCAATAGAACAAGCCATGCTTTACTTGATTTCTTAAAGGGAAGGGAATGGGTCAAGGGTAGAGATGGAAATGAACTAAGATGGTTTTGCAAGTCAGCCTACTATTTACAAGGTTTTCAGTGTGATTATGATGTTTATCAGGCCAGGATAAAGCAAATGAAAAATTGGATCAAGTAATTTTAATGCCTTAATTTGAAAATTAGCAGCTCCAACATTTTAGTCAGCATATGTGAGAGAGGAAAAAACAAAGCAAAGAAGGGTGATCACATTGAGTTACTGTTTTACATGTTTTATGGCTGCTGCTTTAGAAAATGGTATAGTACAGATTGTGGCCATCTTATATAAAATGCACTGTCATCTTCCCCAGTTGTTTCTAAAGAAAAAATACTTCTCATAGGATTACTTTTCAAATTTTTAAAGTGCTGTCCACAGTAAAAATATACTTTATTTTGAAACTCGATATATACACATACATACTGTTTTGGGCACTGACTTTATTTCTTTTTTTTTTTTTTTTAACATCTTTATTGGGGTATAATTGCTTTACAATGGTGTGTTAGTTTCTGCTTTATAACAGAGTGAGTCAGTTATACATATATATATGTTCCCATATCTCTTCCCTCTTTGTCTCCCTCCCTCCCGCCCTCCCTATCCCCCCCCTCCAGACAGCCACAAAGAACCGAGCCGGGTTCCCTGGGGCACTGACTTTATTTCTTTTTTTTTTTTTTTTAACATCTTTCTTGGGGTATAATTGCTTTACAATGGTGTGTTAGTTTCTGCTTTATAACAGAGTGAGTCAGTTATACATATATATATGTTCCCATATCTCTTCCCTCTTTGTCTCCCTCCCTCCCGCCCTCCCTATCCCACCCCTCCAGACAGCCACAAAGAACCGAGCCGGTTTCCCTGGGGCACTGACTTTATTTCGAAACTCAGTATATACACATACAGAAAACTGACAAAAGTTCGAGAAGCAGTACATCTATATGTATGTGTGTATAGATAGGTGTGTGTGCATGTGTTTATGCACACAAATATATTAGCACACACTGGCCAGTTGTGACCCACCAGTTTGATTTCATAATTCACAGTAGTAACCCACTAAATGTCACACCTACCAACAGTATCAAATAGTGAAGTAAACATAATTGCCTACAACTAGAAAGCACTGTATTTCTCAGTGATGAGTACTGAATCCCCCTGGATTCACCGAGAACATGATTTTTGTGCAGGCTGAGCAGCCATCCTTTAAGAACTGGAGGTGGTTTTTGTGAAACTAACTCTGAGTGTTGAATTTGTGAATCATTTATTTCCTCATTTATTCTTTCACTAGCATCCTTCTTAAGGACAATTTGCTTAAAAACCTATTAGGGACAATAATTTGACAGTTCAGAAACTTTTGGAGAAGGTTTGATGGTATAGGAAGTTTAAATAATTGCTCAATTATATTTATTAATTTTATTCTGAATATTAAGAATTTACTATATTTTTATTCTACTGGTTGAACACTATATGTTTATCTACTCTTTAGAAATCATAGAACCTTATAGTGACCGACATTTACTTAAAATCTGTGTTGTTCAATTTGATTAGTGGGAAAACCTCTCATTAAGGGAATAAACTGTGATTTATCTTTAATTTTTGAGAGGTGCTGACAAAGTGTTGCTGCATGCATTTGATGGTCGGCCATCTGTAGCCATGGAAGGAGTAAAAGCTGGGTACTTCTTCTCAATTCCTCCTTCTATCATAAGAAGTGGACAGGTAAATTCTTTGATTAAACCTCATTTTATACTTTGTGAAATATACTTTAAAATATGAACTTTTATTATATACTTGTGACACTATTCTGGTTTCATTGCAAAAATTAATCTTAGGTCCCTACCTCATATAAAGAGTAACTCAAAAGTGGATCAAAGCCTAAGTATAAGAGCTAAAATTATAAAACTCTTAGAAGAAAACAGATCTAAATCTTTGTGACCTTGGATCAGGCAGTGGTTTCTTAGCTATGACACCAAAGGCACAAGCAACCAAAGAAAAAATAGATAAATTGGATATCATCAAAATAAACTTCCACTCACAAAAAAAATAAACTTCCACTAACAAAAAATTGGGCAGCTCATACTCAAAAGACCTGAACTTCTGATAGCTTTCAGAAAAGGGATTTTAAAGGCAGTGTGAGGGAGGAGGCTGCAGGGTATGTGAGCAGCTTGTGCTCAGTTCTTGAATTGATTGGCATCAAGGTGAAGTTTTGAGCATCATCAATCTTCTGGTTTCAGCTGGTCTGGGGTCTACATGCTTGAGGTCAGCAGTTTCCATCTGGTTGGGGTCTGCTTCCTGTAAGAACAGCTTAGGAGTGTGTGTCAGGCCTCTATAACTTTCAGGGAACTGGGAATTTGGTGACTCTGCTATGTGGCGAATTCATAGTCTAAGTTGTTACCAGTTTTCCAATCCAACACCTATTCATTGCTCCTACATCTTCACATTTCCTAATCACTAATTCTTGAACCAGCCTTTTGAGACCCAGGGGAGGCCTGGGAGACTTGAAGCGAAAGCAATTTACTTCAAAATACAGGGACACTGGGCCTTATATATGGTTTCAGGTGGAAAGTTCTAGAAATGTCAATTAGGTCATGTTAATTGATAGTCCATGATTACTTTTATCATTTGTGGAGAAATTTCTTATTTATTTTATTTATTTATTTATTTATCTTTGGGTGTTGGGTCTTCGTTGCTGCACGCGGGCTTTCTCTAGTTGAGGGGAGCAGGGGCAACTCTTCATTGTGGGGCATAGACTTCTCATTAGGTGGCTTCTCTTGTTGCAGAGCACGGGCTCTAGGTACATGAGCTTCAGTAGTTGTGGCAGGTGGGCTCAGTAGTTGTGGCTCATGGGCTTAGTTGCTCCATGGCATGTGGGATCTTCCTGGACCAGGGCTCGAACCCGTGTCCCCTGCATTGGCAAGTGGATTCTTAACCACTATGCCACCAGGGAAGTCACTCTTCCTTGGATCTTTCAGTAGGCATATGATATCAGATATTTGGATTCTTGCTGGATGTTACCTCATTTTTTGCTCTTGGTTACTACTCTTTGGGTTCCTAGAGGCTTCGGATAATTTTTGGCAAAGAATGTTTCTTCTTAAATCTAACCATTAATGTAGAATGATGAGAACATAGTGAACATTTATTAATTGAATATTAAAGTATGAATTTTAGATTCTTGCAGAGTAATATGCATTGACATGTGGGTTTAATGCTACTTATTTAATCCTTCTCATGTTTTAAACTTACTAGCTTTCTCTTTTCTCTAAGAAGCAGAAACTTGTTAAACAGTTGCCTTTAACTTCGATTTGCTTGGAAACAGATTCACCTGCACTAGGGCCAGAAAAAAAGGTAAATGATTTTTTAATTTCTACATTATTTAGATTGTGTCTTTTATTTGAACTATTTTCAGTTTAGCTGTGTTTCTCATTCCAGTGTAAATATAATGGGATCCTACTTTAATGCTAGGTTGAAAGGTTATATTGACTTAATTTCAAGTCTTTTGTAAATATGGCTGTTGTGCTACAAAGAATATTATTTGATATGGGTCATGTCCTAATTTATGTAATATTGAAATCCACACCAGTATAGTAAAAAGCTTAGTATCTAGAGTCAGAAAGAGCTGGATTCAAATCCTGTCTCTGATCCCCACTAGCTGTATAACTTTGGGCAAGTTCCTTAATCTCTCTGAAACTGTTTATACATTTATAAAATGTGGGTAAAATAATAGTAAAATACTTGGAAGTATTACAGTGGAGATTAAATGAAGTAATGTATGTGAAAGTGCCTAGGGCTTCCCTGGTGGCGCGGTGGTTGAGAGTCTGCCTGCCGATGCAGGGGATATGGGTTTGTGCCCCAGTCCGGGAAGATCCCACATGTCACGGAGTGGCTGGGTCCGTGAGCCATGGCCGCTGGGCCTGCGCGTCCGGAGCCTGTGCTCCGCAATGGGAGAGGCCACAACAGTGAGAGGCCCACGTACCACAAAAAAAAAAAAAAGAAAAGAATATAGAAGAGGAATGAGAAAATAGAGGATTATAACCACATTTATTTTCTTGTTTGAGTGTAGGACAGAATGGTACAAAATTGCCTTCCTGGTTAGTGTGAAATAGGATGAAAATGACCTAGCTTTTTTACCCTAAACAGAAATGAATTTCAAATGCTCTTATAATTCAGTTTTATGTTTGTATTTAGATGATTTGATAAAAATTGTGGGTTTCTGGCATAGTGCCTTGCACATAGTAGGTACTCAAAAACATTTATTGAATAAATGAATTTTAAAACTGAGGAATTCCCTGGCAGTCCAGTGATTAGAAATCTGCACTTCCACTGCAGGGGGCACAGGTTCAATCCCTGGTCAGGGAACTAAGATCCTGCATGCCACACAGCGCAGCCAAAAAATAAAAATAAAATAAAATAAAAAATAAATTAAAAAAATAAATAAATAAAAATAAAACTGGGCTTCCCTGGTGGCGCAGTGGTTAAGAATCCGCCTGCCAATGCAGGGGACGCGGGTTCGAGCCCTGGTCCGGGAAGATCCCACATCCTGCAGAGCAACTAAGCCTGTGCGCCACAACTGCTGAAGCCCACATGCCTAGAGCTCGTGCTCTGCAGCAAGAGAAGCCACTGCAATGAGAAGCCCGCACACCGCAACGAAGAGTAGCTCCCACTCACCATAACTAGAGAAAGCCCGCAAGCAGCAACAAACACCCAACACAGCCAAAAATAAATAAATTAATTAAAAAAATAAAAATAAAAAAATAAATAAAACTGAATATGCTTTTTGTTAAGTAAAATGAGTTTGTTCTAGAAAAATAGAAAACACAGAAAATCATAAGAAAATAGAACCATCTACCACTGAAAGGTTACCACTATAGTATAGTGGTTAAGAGCATAAACTCTGATGTCAGCTTGCACAGGTTTAAACCTCAACTGGGCTACTTACTCGCTGTTTAGGATCCCTTCTTATCTGTAAAAAAGGGATGCTAATAATAATAGTACCTATCTCACAGTTATTTTGAGGATTAAATGAGAAATTCCATGAAAACCTTAGAACAAAACCTTGCCTACAACAAGCACTAAATAAATGAAAGTTCTTATGTCCTTCCACACTTCTTTATGTCCATATATGTACACATATTTTTTTCATAAAAATAGGATTAGCCTCAACACATCATTTTGTAACTTGCTTTTTTTTTTTTTTTGTGGTACATGGGCCTCTCACTGCTGTGGCCTCTCCCGTTGCGGAGCACAGGCTCCGGACGCGCAGGCTCAGTGGCCATGGCTCACGGGCCCAGCCGCTCCGCAGCATGTGGGATCCTCCCGGACCGGGGCACGAACCCGTGTCCCCTGCATCGGCAGGCGGACTCTCAACCACTGCGCCACCAGGGAAGCCCATCAAGGTTATTTTTTAACCTTGTTATCTTATTCCTCTGAACATTATCATCCTGAGTCGATAACTTAATAATATATTTCATCAAATCTAAATGCCACTGATTGTAGATGTACCACTGTTTTGTGACCATTAAGGAAAAAAACACTACAATTATACTTTCACATGCCACTGAATGTCATTAAAATATATATCAATTTCAGAGATGTTAAAATAGGGGAGAAATGCATCTTAGAATCAGTGTAATATGACTACATAATCTATGTAGTCTTCCAGACACCCTGGCATTACTGAGTCAAACTGTAATGTAGCCTGTGAGTTGAAATGGCCAAGCTACAGAGCTTAACCTTTGCAAGCACTCACTTGAGGAACAAACCAAAGGACAGTTAATTCATCAGTCAGGCAGGTCACCAAGTGTCCACTTTGTGCAGATTGCTTCATATGCTAGGTGCTGGGACCTCAACTGGTAATACCCCAAGGCTCTTTTCAGGAGCAGGATAGACTTACAGTTAATGTTGTAGCCTTAGCTTTCAAGCTGAAGTTCAGGGCTTTTCCTCAGCTTCGCCTCACCCCCATTAAAAAAAAAAAAAAGAGCTCATCAGTTGTTTTTACCAACTCATTTTCATCTCTTTTATCTACAGTCTTCAAGGATTGCTTCCCTTGAGTGTCATGTTTGATTAATGTCTGCTTTGTCTGTCTCAGGTACGGAATGAGCCCCAAAACATTTCCATTTCAGCAGAATATATTGCCCAGGTGAAAGGGATGTCAGTGGAGGAAGTTATAGAAGTGACAACACAGAACGCATTGAAACTGTTTCCCAAACTTCAGTACCTGCTCCCGAAATAGCTTCAAAACAAAATCAAGTGCAGAGGGCACTGTTTGAGAAAAATAAATGTTCTGATGAAGAGTCTGAACTGAAGAAGCCATTGTATCGGGATTATAATTTTAGAGAAATATTTTTCTTAGAAGTAAAACTGGGCTTAGATCCTAAAACCCTGGGTTCTAATTCTACCTTGCAGTGCTTTTCAATTAATGGAGTCCTAGCAGGAGATTGGGAAATACCACTGCTTCTTACTTTGCCCTGTTAAGTAGAACCACCAAATGAACTGAAACCATTTGTTCTGGCAAGGGTGGCTCCCACAGGTAAGAAATAAGTGCTACTGTGATGGCATGCAATAGGCTAAAGTTTGATCCTTTACCACCTGTTTGACTTCCCACAGGATTTATCCAGTGAAAGGAGAGTGTCTAGTTTTTTATACTATCAGAAATCTTATCTTTTCTGGGTTTATAAAATTGAACTTTTAGTACTTTGAATTATCTCTCATTTTAAGAGAAAAATGTGCAAGGTTTTTATATTGATCTTAGACTTTGACTTATAAAGCCCATGGTTCGTGCAATCACCGTTAAATACCAAGCACCACAGTTTAATTAATAAATTGGTTTTAAGTTCCAGTCTGAATTTTGTCACATGTTTAAAATGTACATAGCTCGATTAAAAATGTATCTGACTTTTTTGCATGCAATAATATTTTATATTTTTAAGTTTTATAAATCTCCGGTATGAAAAGAGTCCAGTGGATGGTGGTGATAGTAGCACAACAATATGAATGTGCTTGAAGCCACTAAACTATACCCTTAAAAATTCTTGAGATGGTAAATTTTATGTTATTTGTACTTTACCACAATTTTTTAGAAAAAATCTTAGGTGTAGGTTACAAGGTATTGCGATCCATACCAAAACATGAGTATTTAATTTTGTTAAATTACATAAGCAGCAAATACTGGAAAAAGTACCTGTCAGAGAAATAAGTTAACTTCCTAAAAAGCCAAATGATTTTACATAATCTTCAATACTTTGAAATGAATTCATTTATAGAAGAATCAAAACTAGTTCTAGGGCAGATTGTCCAAATCAAACTAGACTATCTAAGAAGCAGAATAGAATGCTTTATGAGATACTTAACCACTTATTAGCATCATGACACATGAAATGCCCACATTTAATGGGAGGTTATATTAAAACTAGACTTCTGATCTCTCTTTCAACTCTATATTTCTTTTGCCTGTTTTCTACCTCCTTCAGCTCCCATTCCCTTTCTCAGACTCTCACCTTTAAATCCTTTAAGATCCAATTTAAATGACTTCACCCTATGCAATCACTCCAGCCAGACATGATCCTTGCCCTCTAAATTGCATAGCCATTTTATTCATTTATTCGTCAGTTTTTTTCATTTTACACAAATAGTTATTGCTCCTCCTCTAGGTTACCCATTAATCTAGGTCTGTAGGCTACAAAGAAGAATAAGATACGGTTCTTGCCTTCAGTTCATACTTTACTAGAGAAGACAGACAAGTGGACAAATTTCAAAGCAATGTGAGAAGTACTATAATAAAGGAAGAAAGAAGTGCTATGAAACCAGTCTGATGACATTAGAACACATAACTCCTTTTTACTAGGGTTACTTGATATTTTTCACCTCCAGAGATTGCAAACCTTTTGAGGACAAATATTTTTTTGTTTTTGCATCATAGAAAAAGACATCTTCTACATGTCTTGCAACAAGGTTTGCAATATCATATGCTCTCACGTATCTTTTATATAAGTGAATTGAGAAGGTCTCTGAGGAGGGGCCAGGATGGCAGAGTAGGAAGACCCTGAGCTCACCTCCTCTCCTGGGCACACAAATTTACAACTATTTACAGAGTAACTGTTGATGAGAAAGACCAGAAGACAAGCAGAAAAGAACTTCTGCAACTAAAGAAGGAACAGCAACGAGACAGGTAGAAAGGGCGGAGACATGGTATAGTCAAAACCCATATGCCCAGGTAGGTGACTCATGAACAGGAAGATGATTACAACTGCAGAGGCTTTTCTCAAGGAGTAAGGGGCCTGAGCCCCACATCAAGCTCCCCAGGTCCGGGTGTCCTACACCAAGAAGATGAACCCCCAGAATGTTTGGCTTTAAAGGCCACGGGGGCTTACTTTCTGGAGACCCAGAGGGCTGTGGGAAATAGAGACTCCACCCTTAAAGGGCGCACACAAAATCTCACACACGCCAGGACCCGGGGCAGAAGCAGTGATTTGAAAGGAGCCTGGGTCAGACACACCTGCTGATCTTGAAGAGCCTCCCTGAGAGGCAGGAGGCATCTGGAGCTCACTCTGGGGACATAAATAATTGCAGCAGAAAATTTTGTGGAGCGGCTTCTACCACATGGACACTGGTGCTGGCAAGTGCCATTTTGGAATCCTTCAAGTTTATTAGTGCCGGGACCTGGCCCTGCCCACAAGCCTGTCAGCACCAGTACTGGACACCTCAGCCCAAACCAGCTAGGGGAAGATGCTGCCCCACCCACCAGCTGGCCTGCTGTTTTCAGACACATTGAGCCCATGGTCACCCTGGGACATGGCCCTGCCCACCAGTGCTAGACCCTGGACCAGCCTCACCCACCAGTGGACATGCATCAGCCCCATGATCACCTGGGCTGCAGCCTGGGCCCCGTCCACCAGCAGACCATCTTACCAACCCTGGGACCCCCAGGGCCTGCAGCCACAGATCCTGGGACATAGCTCTGCCCAACAGCGGGCCAGCACTAGCCTCAAGACCCTGCTTCCCCCCTCAAGCATGCAGACACCAAGCCCAGGACTACTGCAGCCCCTTAGCCCAGCCCATGTCACCAGCTCACCCACCAGCAGGCCAACACCAGCTCTGTGACACCTTGGACCCCTCATCCAGCAGCCCCAGGATCCAGCTTACTCACCAGCAGGCTGACACCAGCTCAGAGAAACCTTGGACTCCTCAGCCAACTGCTCTAGGATCTAGCCCAACTCACCAGCAAGTCAGCACCAGCTTTGGGACACCCCAGAACACACAACCAGCCATGTCAAGAACCAGCCCACCCACCAGCAGGCTGACACTAGATCTGGGAACCTCAGCCCCACGACCACCAATCCCAGAACCTAGCTCCACCCACCAGTGGGCCAGCACTAGCCCTGTGATGCCTGGGACTCGACAGCAAGCACTTCATGACCTGGCCCTGCTAACCAGCACCTGGCAACCAACCAGACCAGGGGCCAGCCACACTACCAGCCCTCCCACAGTACTCAGCCTGCCACAACAGGAGGACCCACACAGCCCACATAGGGGGCACCCCTAGGGCATATAGCTCTGGTGACCAGAGGGGAGTGTGCTGCTGAGATGCATAAGATGTCTCCTATGAAAGGCCAATTCTCCAAAGTCAGGAAGTGTAACCAAACTACCACATACACAGAAATAAAAACAGCAAATTAGGCAAGATGAGGTAACACAGGAATATGTTCCAACAAAGTAGCAAAATAAAACCCCAGAAGAACTAAGTGAAGTGGAGATAGGCAATATATCTGATAAAACGTTCAAGTTAATGATCGTAAAGGTGTTCAGAGAACTCAGGAGGAGATTGTATGAACAGAATGAGAAGTTAGAAGTTTTTAACAAAGAGTTAGAAAATATAAAGAACCAAACAAAGATGAAGGATACAATAACTAAAATGAAAAGTGCACTAGAAGGAATCAACAGAAGGTTAAATGATATGGAGGAATGAGTCAGCAAGCTGGAAAACAGTGGAAATCACTGATGCTGAACAGAAAAAAGAATAAAAAGAAATGAGGACAGTTTAAAGAGACCTCTGGGACAACATCAGGCATACTAACATTCACATTATAGGGGTCTCAGAAGGAGAAGGGAGAGAACAAGAGCAAAGATCATATTTGAAGACAGAATAGCTAAAAAATTCCCTAACTTGAGAAAGGAAACAGACATCCAGGTCCAGGAAGCAGAGAGTCTCAAACAGGATCAACCCAAAGAGGACCACACTAAGACACATTGTAATTAAAATGACAAAAATTAAAGATAAAAAGAGAATATTAAAAGCATCAAGGGAGGGACTTCCCTGGCAGTCCAGTGCTTAAGACTCCATGCTTCCACTGCAGGGGGCATGGGTTCAATCCCTGGTCAGGGATCTGATCCCTCATGCCATGTGACGCATCTGAAAAAATAGAAGGGAGGGAGGGAGGTAAGGAGGAAGGAAGGAATCAGTGTTTTAAAAAAAAAGCATCGACGGAAAATCTACAAGTTACATATTACAAGGGAACTCCCATAAAGCTATCAGCTGACTTTTCAGCAGAAACTCTGCAGGCCAGAACAGAGTGGCATGATATATTCAAAACAATGAAAGGGAAAAACCCATAACCAAGAATACTCTACCTGGCAGGGCTTTCATTCAGAGTTGATAGATCAAGTTTTGCAGACAAGCAAAAGCTGAAAGAGTTCAGCACCACCAAACCAGCTTTACAAGAAATGCTACAGGGACTTCTCTAAATGAAAGAGAAAAGGCCACAGCTAGAAACATGAAAGTTACAAAAGGAAAAAGCTCATTTGTAAAGGCAAATACACAGTAAAGGTAGTAAATCAACCATGTATGAAAGGAGGTTAAAAGACAAAAGTAGTAAACTCATTTATATCCTCAATATTTAAGGGGTATACAAAACAAAAAAATACATGTCAAAAATAGTAAACATTGGGGGGAGTGGAGTAAAAATGAAGAGTTGTTAAAATGCAGTTGAACTTAACAAATCAGCAGCTTAAAACAGTCACATGTACATAAACCTCATGGTATCCACAAACCAAAAATCTATAATATACAAACAAAAAAGAGAAAGGAATCCAAACATAACACTAAAGATAGTCATCAAGTCACAAAGGAAGACAAGTACTGTATGATTTCACTTATATTTGGAATCTTAAAAAAATGAACAAACATAAAAGAGAAACAATTATAGATACAGAAAACAAACAAGTGGTAGCCTGAGGGAAGGGGGTTGGGGGAGGAAAAAATTAAGTTAGGGGGACTAAGAGGTGAAAACTTCCAATTGCAGAATAAATGAGTCACAGGTATGAGTTGAACAGTGTTGGGAATATAGTCAGTAACTATGTAGTATCTTTGTTTTGTGGCATATCATAACTAGACATCGTGGTGATCAGTTTGAAATGTATAGACATCACTGTGATATGTAACGTAACAGGAACCAACATAGTGTTGTAGGTCAATTACACTTCAAAAACAAACTCATAAAAAAAGGAACCGTATTTGTGGTTGCAAGAGCTGGGTGTATGAGGAGGGAGAAGTGGATGAAGGCAGTCAAACAGTAAAAACTTCCAGTTATAAGGTAAATAAGTACTGGAGATGTGATGTACAACATGATAAATATAATGAACACTGTTGTATGTTATACATGTTAGTTTTTTTTGTTTTGTTTTAACATCTTTATTGGAGTATAATTGCTTTGCAATTATGTGTTGCTGCTGTATAACAAAGTGAATCAGCTATATGCATACATAATCCCCATATCCCCTCCCTCTTGCGTCTCCCTCCCACCCTCCCTATCCCACCCCTCTAGGA